TCTCTCTCTCTCTCTCTCTCTCTCTCTCTCTCTCTCTCTCTCTCACTCACTCACTCACTCACTCACTCACTCACTCACTCACTCACTCACTCACTCACTCACTCTCTCAAATACTTGTGTCAAACGAAACCAGACGTCCCTTTAAAAGAGTGTGAGAGAGATATGTATTGAATGTGAGGGAATTTTTTCAGTCGATTGAAAGGGGGGTTTGTATTGAATACATAACATAGTTTAGTATAGAGTCTGCGATCGCAAGCATTTAAAGTCTATGTATTTTAAATCAGATTCAAAATATACACAATGAGAAAGCATCAGGAATATTTTAATAAATTATAATCCCGGCCATAATATCGGGTGTCCCCGTTGTCTGTCCCCAACCCCCCGCCGTTATTACATACAATCAAAAAAAACAATAGACAATAACCGACACGATTTGAACTGATTTATCACCAGAAATTTTTCTCAATACCTGCTAATTAAATACATATACAGTGTATAAAATCAACATGCATTATTGTGTTTGTGTGTGAGGGCTATAATAATTAAGGACATCTAGCTAAACAAAAACTAAAAATATGCACATTGTTGCTTTTTTGTTTTACCGGCCAATCGCACACACCATTTCATGTGCCCTTTTAATTAACATACATTTAATTATATTCAATGTAAAAATGATTATCGTTTCAAATGATTTTTCACATATCATTAAATCCAATGAATTGATTGTTTTTTGTTTGTTTGGCATTTGTTTTAATGAGCAATGAGTTAAACGTGTATTTCATGCACACAATGTAATACATGGGAACATTTTTAATTAAATCACCTAGACAGTTTTACATAAGTAGACAAGTAGGGGGGCCGGGGAATGGGTGTATCACCACGTACCTTTAAGCCAGTCCGTTGTATTGACCGCGGTCCATTCGGCCACATTAATAAATGCCATAATTGGTTAATAATATAAAATATATCCCTGGTCAGTCAGTGATTATGTTTTGACTATAATCTATGGTATAGATTATAATCCAATTAGGTGTAGACGATGATGGTCATTCAGGCGTACATCCCGGTCCATTTGAGTGAGACAATGAATAATCACTGAACAGGTATGGGTTGGTTATTGTGAGGGTTGGCTATCTGTCACCGGACACTACTAGACTCATAGCCCGGGCGCTATACTTGAGATCCATTGGTTACCCATAGGTATGAACACATAATAATTTTATCATAATCACAAAAATACACGTGAATTTGATTTGATAATCACAATGTTATAAATCACACACAAAATTGTGTGATAGTGTATTTAAAACATCATTGATTGTGATGTGTATATCATAAACACAAACATACTGTATATAAATAGCCGTACGGTTTAAGTACACGATATTGTTTGATACAAAAAAACAAACTTTTAAACATAGGATATTCTGGTTTACACAATGAGCTATATTTTTACATTAATGATTCACTTTTCATTGTATTGTCACATGAATTAATGAGAGAATATACATTATGGTAATAATGTGAGAGACAGTATTATAATGGCACCACTTGTAGAGTGTATGGGTATGTCTGGTGTATACACTATGGGATGTCTGTACAAAACACAGCAAAAACTAACGATATAATACTTTTAGGTCTCTCTCACACAACACTCACACATTCACTACATGTAAGCGACTAAACAACTTCTCTCTCTCGCTGTCGCTGCTCTGGGCTCCCAGTGCTCTATCGCACAGTCAGTCAGTCTCTCTCTCACACTCACTGTAACTCTCAGACTATGCGCTCTCAGATGTCTTTCACTTGTAGATTGTGTGGAGGGATAACACAGAGCAGAGGGGACTCGCATTGCGAGAGAGTTGTGTGAGAGTGCTTTGGGAGAGCTATTAGAGAGCCAAGAGAGTGAGGAGAGAGAGAGAGAGAGAGAGAGACTTTTTGGGTAACTGCCCCTTCTCTCTCTCTCTCTCTCTCTCTCTCTCTCT